GATCGCCGGGCTCGTCGAGGCCGCCGCGAGGCCCTCCAACTCCGCGAGCACCGCGTCGGGCCCGCCCTCGACCTGCCGGTTCAGCTCCGGCGGCGGCGCCATGAACTCCTCATCGCTGCGAATCGCCGTCGCGAAGACGATGCGCAGGATGGCGTCGAGCGTGCAAAGCAGACCGCGGCAGTAGGCGTGGAGCACCGGGCACCCGTCCCGCAACAGCTCCACCTGGAAGAGGTATGGGAAGCTCAGGTAACCCTGGACGAGGGAAAAGCCGCGGAGGTAGGTCAGCTCGCGAACGTGCAGGTGATCGAGGAGGTCGATCAACACACGCTCGTCGTTCAGTTCGGATGGCGGCGGGATCGCGCCCGTCGCGAGGAGTCGTCGTAGCGAGCAGACGCCCTCGTAGCCGTAGCCGGAGTCCGTCTTCGGGTCCATGATCTCCGGCGCGGAGAGGATCAGCTCGCGGTCCATGTCGTCGAGAAAGGCGCAGCTCCACGTCGGCTGCGCGGCGATGGTGCCACGGAAGTCGTCGAGGACGTCCTCCCAGGACACGTCTAGGTCACACAGCGGGGTTTGCGGCCGAACGGATGTCATCTCTCAAGGGAGAATAGTTATGCTTAAAGATAGAAATACTGATATAGATCTATATATATAGATACGTATATATATATAGTGATATATATTTCTTCGATATGCTTATTTTAGTTGTTCTCTCACACTTTCTTTTGGGGAAAGGGTTATGGTTGGGTATACCCGTGAGTGTGGTTGAAGTATTTTGGTGGGAGAGAAAATAGAAGCAATCCAAGGTCGAAATCAAATGAACTTCCTGGGAGTTCAAAACTACAGTTCATGCAAGAGGAAATGCATAGGGCTTACAATATCACAACACTATCACACTGATAGATTCTTTGTTATTATTTTCCTTCTTATCTGTTCTGCAATGAATGTTATGATATCGACTTTTATTGCATCTGGCACCCCCTTCCCGAACAAAAATGGCGAAGAGAAAGATATTCTCTTTCAGTGAGCAAATCTTTTTTTTTATAAAAACAAAATGAAGCTATATAATGCACATTGTGAAGGAGTAAGGTCAATAAGAAACATAAATATTGGAGAAACAAAAGACAAATGTTAAGTTTTTTCCCCCTCTCCGTAAGAATTTGAACGACTTTTGCAAAAATGGCACATACTCATCGGTCTACTTTATTGAGTCTTGCATAGACTAAACTCAAGCCCAATAATTTTAAAAATGAAAAAAAAAAGGACACAAACATAATACATTAAATAGCTTTTTTTGTTGTTGGTTAGTTCCTCATTCCCCTCACTGGTCGATTTTTTGATTAATTAGCATCATTACATTATTATTATACTTATTATTATTGCTATTTTTATCCACTAAAACTTAGCTATAAATATGTTACGAAATAGATATGAAATATCTTGAAAAATGAATGCTCTGAAAAGAAAGAGGTGATAAACGAACGAACCGGATATATCTTCATATACATGAAAACATGCGTACAACACGGAAAATAAACACATCTAAAGATAAATGAGAAGAGAGGAAAGCCATACAGACGAACGGGCAGATATACAATCGATAAAAAGTAAGAAACCTCACCGTAGGCTAATTTAATTTAGTTTCCTTCCGTAGTACGATTTTATTTTCGGTTATTCGTCCTGATTTACCCCCTCTCCCCTCATCCCCCTGTCCCCTCCAAAGATAGTATGATGCATTTTGAAAGGATGGACCAAGTCACATATAAAAAAAAGTAGAGGGATAAAGTAAGATGGAACGTTAAAAAAACATACTCATGTAGTACGATTAGAAATAGTTTACTTGAGAAAGATCCTTTTTCGAATTCAAGTGTAAAAAATAAAATAGGGGGGAAATGAAAAAAAGGCTGCATACAACATAGTAGTCAACATCAATGTATTTAATAATCCTTTTCAGCACTTTTATATGGTGCGTTTATGTACACTTGAATAGGGTCACACTTGCAAGAATGGAAGGTCAGCTCTATCTCGCCCTCTCCCGTGAAACCCCACTGCCCTATACCTGAAGGATGGAAAAACAGGTGAAAAAAAAGTTGAAAAGAATACACGCTACTCTGAAGCTAAAATCGTGCTTCGTATTCACAAAATAAGACAAAGAAGCCTGTACCTCATTCTGAGTCTTTCTACAGTTTGACGTATTTTAGAACTAAACTTTTCATGAAACCATTAAGCCCAGATCACGTCTTTTACTTAACCGTCAGAAACACTCTCCTCGCAAGTTCCATTATTAATTAACGCTTTGTCTATTAGTTTTCTTTTCGAAGTGAAAACCAAAAAACTCATATGTTGATCTTGGTCAAGTGCGGGAATAAAACAAACCAAATAAAATGTGGTTTAGATATTATATTTGATAATGGATAAGAAATAGCAAATAGTGAAATGGCAAAATAATAATAAATGTAGTGGGAGGAAAATGGAGGAAAAAAACAAGAGGAGTAAGAGAAGTTCTCCTATCATACTTTTATTAAGCTTTGCTTTCCATTTGAACTACGTTCATTCACTAGTTGAGACTTGTGGAAAGGAAGGAAGTAAATGTACAAAATCCCACGATTTTCGGATTCATTCTTTTATTTGGCTCTTTTTCGATCTGCATACTTGCAAAGGAATTTAAAAAATGATAAAAATTGTGGCGGTCAAAGCACCCCACATAAGCATTTTCACACGAAATATAGAGTGCTCATTATTGTTAATCAAATAATGATCATTCGTGCTAAAAAATAAACTAGACTTGTTAAAACAGAAACAACGATTTATTTTACATACCCTATTGAAACACACCCTTGTATCGAATTATTCGATTTGGTATACGATTCGGTTTATGCTATTTTTGTCCCTATTTTATCATTCGCGTGCTCGTCGCACAAATCCTCCTTAAAAAAATAAAATGACCAAAAAAGATTCAATTCTGAATGATTTCCAGCGTTGGCGCATCCCTTTTTTCCAACAAAATAAAAAATAATTAAAAACATATATTGCTACCACGTGGCTAGCAATGTGAGATGCTTTTACCCTCTCCCTACCCCCCCTCACCCCACCTCTCCTCATCTGTTTACACTCAACGAAACGAAGAAAAAAAACAAGAATCCCAACAAACACTTTTGAAATGGGAAAAAAAAACAGCAAAAGAATGAAAATGAAGAACTTACCAAAGACCCTCTATAAACAAACAGAAAATAATATTATGATGCAAACATGAAAAAGGAACCCTTAACGCTACCTCTTAGAGAGGTGGAAGGGGGGAGCAAGTCGGAAGAGAGATGCGCTTTACACACTCGCTCCATTTAGTGCGAGAAACTCAATACTCGAGCGCATAATCTCCTTCAGCACGCGCACCTCCACCTCCCTAGACATGCTTGGTAAGGTGCTGCTCTCCACGTCTGTTGTCCCGTGCGGCCGCAAGGCGATCTCGATGATGTGGAATGGGATATACTTCGCGATCTCGATCTCCTCCACGGCCTGAATAAGGCGCTGCAAGGGTGACGGCTTTCCATCATCCCGCGCGGTAGCCTCACTGGGGTCGTTAAACTTGGAGCTCCCGCACAGCTGTAGGGTCCGCTCGACGATCAGGTCGTACTCCTCTTCCGACGGCAGCTCCGTGAGGAACCGGGTGAAGTTAAGGTGGGACTTCTTCACCCAGTCGGCAGGGACGTAGGGCTGAATGGTCTGCACCATCGGGTAGTGGATCTCCTCGAAGGCGAGCAGGAGGATGTCGCGGCCCTTGCGCTGCAGCGAGCGGCCGGGCAGGAGATCGCCCACCGACGAGGTCATCTCGCCGTCCGCGAAGTTCTCCACCGAGGAGGCCGCGAGGATGGCGCTGAGATCGCCCGTCGGCTGCGACATCAGCCGAGACAACCGCTGCGACCTCGGCTGCGACGAGGGCTGGGATAACCGCTGGGACAACGACTGGGAGGAGGGCTGGGGAACGGACTGAGACAAGCGCTGGGACGCTCGATGGGACAAGGGTGGGTTCGGCCGTGGCACCGTCGGCGTCGTCCCGGCCAGTGTGCTCTGCTGGAGGAGGGGGGAGACGGTCGAGGTGGGGGTCGCGTCCTCGCGCCACCGCTGCGGCGCCTTGAGCAGCGCGGCCTCCCCCTCATTCTTCATCGAGACGCTCGCCCCCCGCCACGTCGCACCGCTGCTGCCGCTGCTGCTGCTGCCCCGATGCAGCGGCAGATCCCGCACCTCATTCGTGAAATCCGGCATTAACATCTGCCGGGAGTCGCTCGTCGGGTCCCCCATGCCCTGCTCCTCCTTCCCCTCCGCCTGCTGCCGCGACTGTTGTTTCTGGCGCCTCCTTTGGGTCTCCTCGACACGGAGATCGCTCTGGCGATACATCGACGCCGAGAAGCTAAAGTTTCCCGACAGAAACACCTCATACGGGCGAAAGACGTAGGAGTAGTTCAATATGTGCAGCACAGCTGACATCACCGTTGGCAGGTGTGCATCGCTAATGTACGCACAGCATCGTTTGCAGTTTTTGTTCAGTCTTTTAGGGAGAGGGTTCGTAGCGAGCGGCACCGTTGGCGTCGTTGGCTCACTCGAACCATCCGCCTCCGAGCAGATGCAGCCGTGTGTGATGTAGTGATCCTGATCGATCTGTTCAAGGCTACGTTGGATATTGTAGTAGCTGCGCTCGTCCGTCGCCATGATGAGCTCGTAGACCATGTTGTAAAAAGTATCCTCCTTTTCAGACGTCCACATGTGCGTTTGAGCCAATGTGCTCGGCCTCCGGCAGTCTGGGTCGCCGTTCATGACGGGCGTGTCAGGCTCCACGTTATCCACCCCATCGCCCGTTGAGGGGAAGAAATGGTTCTCCGGCTTCTCCAGTAGAGCGAGGGTGAGCGACATGGTTGCCCCTTGCTGTGGGGCGGTATAGCAGCATAGCGCTGAGTACGGATGCTTTTCCCGCGCTAAGGAGTGATTGCTCCAGCCGGAATGCCCTATCCGCATCACAATGGAGGCAAAAAGAAAGGGCAGCATCTCTTCGTCGGAAAGGTTCGCGCCGACGGTGGGCTGACTAAGCCACTGATGAACCGCCGCGATGATATCCGCGGCGTGCACCGGGTGGTGCAGGGGGTTGCCGGGGCTGAAAAACGTGAACGCCTCTTTTACAAAGTTCAGAAGTTTGTGCACGCTGAATTCAAAGCGGCTCACGAACTCGTAGCTGAGCAGCACATTCATAGCCACTATTACATAGACGTACGTCCCGTGAACCTCCGCGAGCTTGTAGGTGTTAAAATCCGCGGAAAGCACGCGGTGGTCGAGCTCTGGTATATAGGGAAGTTCGAGCTCGGCGAGGGTCTGTTTAAGAGTCTCCACTGGCGTGTATATCTTCGCGCTACGAGTGAAGAGAAGGCGATTGAAACGCGGAAAACAAAATTCGGTATTCTTCAGTGAAGACCTGTTAAGGGCAGCCTTTGTCCGCAGTTTGTTACCAGGGTTATTAAAACCCTCCCCTAACTCACTCCCTGTTAACGAGGCTTCCTCGTTTAACTGCAAGACAGAGGAATAATAACCGCAGCGGTTCCGCATCTGCAGCGGTGTAAGTTTAGCGCTATCACACGAAAAGCTCCCTCCGCTCCCCGCCTCTTGCACGTTAGCAGCGCTCTGTGGCATATTTGAGCGGTAATCGTACCAAGGATCGTCCATGTACTGCAGGGAAACGACGCCGTTGACGACTTTGCTGTCATTTGGGTAGAAAGAGTTATCCTGCTGGTTCTCCTCAGATCTGCGCTGCAACCGCGAAGGAGAATTCAACCCCTCTAGTGGGGAGTTCCTGTCGTGGGAGACGGCACCGCCACTAGAAGTGGTGCCTGACAGGACATCGGAGCGGGAATCCGTCGCTTTGGTGCCCAACAAAGCCTCCCCACGCAGCGCGCGCGGTACCGCGATGTTGCTCTCTAGCACCTCCAACCCTGGCTGCGGGGGCACGAGCTGTGGGAGCTTTATGGTGTAAGGCCTTTCCTCCGAAACAGCCCCATCCTTCGACGAAACCCCGCAGGGGGGCATAGGGGTGGTCAAGAGCGTTTCCGACGCACACGTGGCGGATTTGGTACCCGTGCGCTCCCCAGGAGGAGTGGGGGCACCCCATGGGGGGGGGGTCCCTTTCGTCTCCCTCGCCAACGGCCCCTCCACCTTAAATTTAGTGATTCCCGATGAGCCCTGTTGCTGTTGCTGCTGCTGTTGTTGCTTTGTCTGGCCAGGCGCCCCGATCCGATCGAGGATATTCCCCCGCGAAAAGGCGAGGGAGATGGTCGCGGAGACGACCTTTTTGCCCGCCCCTTCCACCGTCTTCCCCGTCAAGTGCTCCAGCGACGGGGCGACGGTGGGGAAGGCCTCGAGCTGCTTCGCCTCCTTCAACGGCAGCCGTGGGGGGGGTAGTCGGCGGGGGGGCCGCGCCCCTCCCCCTTTCCCTTTCCCTCCTCCTCCCCCGCCGCCCGCTCCTTTCGCGGGTTTCACCGGCATCTTCACGGGAGGGGCCTCGGCGTCGACGTCAGGGGGGCCCGTGTGGGTGGGATTCGGGATCGACCCCCCCCCTCCCTTCGCGGGGTCCACCCCGGAGGGGCTGCTGGGATTCAGAGAGGCCCTCCAGCCCCCCCGGAGCGTGGGTTTGCTGCCGGGATGGGGGCTCGGGGAGGGTTTCGGGAGGGAGGGCGAGATCGACTCCGGGTTCGGGGCCGGACCCGTCCGGGCGTCCGTCAGAGACGTGTTAAGATGGACGGAGGGCCGTCGCTTGGGAATTCGGGGGGCACCCCCATTTTCTGCAGATCCACCACCAGAGTTCATTCGGATAATATATATTTAGTTATTTATTTATATAAATATATGGATATATATTTATCGCTATAAATATATTATTTTCACACCGAAGCTGAATAATGTCTGCCCTCCGTTGTAATATGTTTCGCAATTAGTTATTAAAACAAGCCACTTAACCATGAAATATACGCTATAGTTACGCAACTCTTATAAATAGAAGAAAAAGATCAGGAGAACCAGAAGAGGTAATGGAATACAAATTGAAATGAAGATAAATCGAAAGGACAAAAACTTCGCCTTTCAACAAATCCAAGAAAAAGGATGATTTCGGAAAAGGTGAATTTTTATGTTTGTAGTTTATAGCTTAACGCCACTTTCACCGTCTGAGACGAATACAGAGATGTCAAAATAAGAGAATAAAAAAACGAAATGAGTTCGCGATGATACAAAAACAATAGAAAATATAAATATAAAAGATCAAATATTATAATAATTTTTGCTCGTTTAAATGGCTTACTGTCCTTCATTACGAAAGGCCCTGTTATTTTTAGCAATCGCGATCGTATCTATATCATCATGCAATGGAAAAAAATGTCATGCGCAAGACATGACCTTTACACGTACACAATTCATGTTATAATTTCGAACTTTTATCTGAGCGCATAGTCTCTATTAAGGATAATAATCTAAATTGTATGTATTTAAAGAAAGAGAGTATATGTAAGGAAATGTTAAACAAAGAAAAAATGCTCAGCAATTCGAAGAAAGGAGAGAATATAATGGAAACAGAATTCTTTCAGATTAAGATACACAAAGCATCGTATAGACCTCCGAGGAACGCTCTGCAGCGCTTAGAGTAGATGTGTACAATGTTACACTTGTCGATAGGCATGGGGCGGGTGCCACATGGAATACTGCATACAGAATTGGAATCTCGAAGGATAAATTTGAAAAAGAAAATGAATAGTGATTTCAGTATTTAAAAAATTCTCTCCTTCTAAACAGATTCGAGGGATGCAGAGTAACCAAATCGAGAAGCATTAAAAAAAAAAGAAAAAAGCACATCGACTAAAATAAATGGGCTAAAAATAAAAAATTGATACAATCTCCCCTGCATCTGAGCA